GCTGACAGCAAACTGCCGCCTCTACCTTACGTTGCACAATAAATCAATTCAAACCATTCTCAGCGATCACTGAATCCAAGAAATAAGGGAGAATTTTGTCGATTAGTCTAGAGAAAATTGCTATACGTCTCTTCTGGCTGGACTGAGTTAAAAAACTGATCCATCCAGTCAGAGGAGGCGTGGTCAACATTTACATAACTCAGTCTCTAGGCTAATGGACAAAATTAAGCCATGCTTGGATTCCCCAAGCAGCACACAGGAGAACAGTTAGGACTTCGGGCCTTTCCACAGAGAAATAGAAGGCCTGCCATACACAATTCTGTAGCTATTCTTGTCTTTGTACCCATTGTATTCTTTGGGGCAAAGGGGACATGTAAGAAAGAAGTCATTTTTTTGTCAAGATCAGATAAACCATCCTAAAAACCAGTGTTTGGGTAAACTGCTCTTTTGACAAAACTGTCACAGAGCAGGACCTCTGAATGCCTGGAAGTTGGCAAGACTGGAACTGTAAAGGATCACCTATGCTTAAAGTATGACATTATTTGAATAGTCCAGCCTCTGGAGCATGTAAGAAGAACACACTTCTGGTTACATTAAGTAACATTAAGCACTTTAAAAGGCCTCATAAGTTATACCATATTTTAAATTTGAAATGCCTCATTTTTAGCTTTGCTTCAGGGTCATTTGATACGGTGAGAAAACAACAATTTATTTTTCTAAATGCAATAAGCTAAAAAACCTGGAATCAAACTCTTCATACTGAATGATACACTAAGACGAAACAATTATAAACATAATTTAAAGAAAAGAAATATTGTCTAGCACGTAAATTGGATTGACTCAATGCAATAATAGAAAAATACAGGGTCTTAGACAAAAATATCCAATTTAAACTTTTAGCATACTGCCCTTAAACTGCATTTACTAAAATTGCTTAGCTCAGAGTTATTAAGAATCCTTGATAAAATAGCCTACCTGTGCCACAACCTGCAGGGGAGTAATTAGACTACTATATTCAATCTGGATATCAGGGAGATCTCCTTGTCTGTATTTCCTGTACAAAGTGACCTGAGCATCATGCTTTATCTTCAGCTGGGTTTTTATTTCCTGCAAAAATTTATCATTTTGTCACAAGTAGCAAAAACATTTGCACCTCAGCCCTTCAAATTCCTAATTGTCTCTCGAATGCTGCCCTCTGACTAAAGGCGAGCTTCAGGAAAGTGGAGGCTAGAGTAAAGATGACCATACTCAACAATTGACTCCACCTTTTTCCTGCCCCTTGGCTTTGCCCCATTAACTCTAAGTGATGATTTTCAAGCAGCAGCACTCAAAATTCAAGAGATGATGACCAGTGTTATAAACTAAAATTAATGAGGACCTACCTTGCTATTTTAGAGCGTTGGGTAACTTAATACAGTCTTCCACATGCTGACCTTTTATTCTGTCTTACAGCCAATCTAATGCTTCTTTTAGATGCCAGTTTTTTATATATACTTGGGTTTTATTTTTAGCTTTTCATATTTTTAAAGATTATTTTTACTCTATGCTTTTTGAATGACTGTACTCACCCACCTAAGCTGGTCTACAACCATAATAAAATGTGATCCGATTTGATTTGCCTCTCACAGAGTAACTTTAATTATTCAAACTTGGATTCATTTGGTTTTATTACTAAATAATAAATAATTTTTCCCTCTCAATGAAAATGTTTATTTCCAGATCAGAAAGAGGAATCTAGAAACTCATGAATCTCCACAGTCATTTTCTAACTTTATAAAGGGAAGAGTTATTGCCCATCCTTTAAACCAAGCCAGGTACTTGCTCATTCAACTAACATTATGCAAGCAAAATAGATAAAGGATAGATTTGGTTTCTATTCATGTATGTATTTTATGCTCTGCTTTTTTTTTCAGTTGTCATTTAGATATTTTGGCTCAAAGTTTAACTTTGATTCAGGAAAAAGTGGCTAAATTAAAATACTTCTTGAACTGCTAGGTACACATTATATGGCTCCTCCACTGACCTAGACTAGATTCCTTTGAGTGAAATTGAACAGAATTTCAGTCTCTTGAAATTGTCCATCCCCTCTGTGGTCAGTAAACCCAGGAAGAACGCATCAGACATGCTTGCTCTGCATGAAATACTCCACTACACTGTTTTTCAAACTTGACAACTTTTAAGATTTGTGGACTTCGACTCTCAGAATTCCCCAACCAGCATGTTGGCTAGGGAGTTCTGGGAATTGAGATCCACATATCTTAAACCATGCTTAAGAACAATTGTATTATAATTAAAACTTACAAATAACCTTTTGTAATCTACTATCAATCCATCAATGGGAACTCCATTTACCAGTCAGGCATATTTGGAAAATTATACATGGAAAACTAACCTTTTCTTGTTTCTGTTCAGCAACACCCTTTCTTGCGTAGATCAAACTAAGCTTTACTGGATCTTTTAAGAAGCGTCTCCGTAGTCTGAGAATTTCTGTGTGTTCATCTGTACCTAATGCATGTAGAAATAAATTTCTTTAAACTTACACAGTAAATCTATTTAAGAAATTACCATATTTTTCAGAGTGTAAGATGCTCTGGACTATAAGACACATCTACCTTTGGGGGGAGGAAAACAAGAAAAAAAATCTGCCTTTGCCTCCCAGCATCCATCCAGTATTGCTACGGCCCATTTGCCATAGCCCGTTTACCCAACCATGGCCCATTTGCCTCTGCCTATTCACCGTGGCCTGTTCGCCACCGCAGCAACCCATTCACCGCCACCCGTTTGCCAGGGCCTGCTTGCCGCAACCGCAGCCCGTTCAATGGAGCCCATTTGCCTTCGCCTCCTATTTGGCACGGTCCATTTGCCACCACCTGGAACTGGCCGAAAATGCAATGTGCGGAGATCAAAAACAGCCAAAGGGTGGTGGGCAGCGGGTGGGCGGAGTTTTGGCAACATTCGGTGTATAAGATGCACTGCAATTTTCATCCACTTTTAGAGTGGGGGGAAAAGGAAAGTGCATCTTATACTCCAAAAAGTACGGTATATATTCAATCTTGTTAGTCAGATCCTGAAATTGAGAATTTCTCAAATTGTGTGACTTGTATGAAATCTACAATGGATGCACCTGTTTCCACATTTAAAGTTAAAACCTGTTAGTTTCTCAAATTTTATATAATTTTAGAAACTCATTCAGATTTCCAAAGAAGAAATCTATTTTAAGCTACATATTTATATGTATATATTCAATATTGAAAATCTTTGAAAGAAGTTTGGCTATTGGAAGCAAACAACTGTAGATACCAACGCAGCTGCCAGCAACTTCATGGCATAAATAATTGGATTCAGGGCATAGATCCTTATGAAGACAAGTCTACTAAAATCTCGTCAAACCATTTAAGCATATATTACACTGAATGTCGTTTCACTAGTATCCCTCATATCAGTATTCCACTCAATGTGTTTTTTGTGCATTCTACAAAACAGAATTTAAAATGCTAATGTTTGGGAAAGGGGCATGCAAATTCATGCAATATTGACATTTATTGTTGATTTACAAAGAACAGATAAGAGACATAGTAATATAAATACACATACAAACCTCAATATTAGAAACTGAATATATATTATTTGTGATGGCTTAGAAGACATTTATTCCCAGGACAAACCAAAAACAAATTATGCTACTGCTATCCACATAAACTCTGGTTTTGCCATAGAGGGTGATCTGATTTGAGAATCATATTGAAAGAGCAAAAAGAACTAGAGTAATAGCAACAAATACCTTTAGTTTTGCTGTCTACTTCATCTCCTGGCAAACCCAGTCGTTTTTTTCCAAAATTAGCACTTAATGGTTTGAATGCAGTTTTGTAAGATCTGTCTGTACGCTTGTTAATGAGCAACATGGAAACTGACTCAGAAGAGGAAGGAATTGTAGAGTCTGCAAAGGTGTCAACACTATTTCCTATTAGCCAGTTGAAAGAGCTTCTTCCACCTGTAAAAAGAGTATAAGAGCCCAGTTCAAGGTATGTAAAAGCAAGTTGTCTGTTTCCAGCGAATACTTTTTCTTTACATTGTCCTATTACGTACTAAAGAATGACACCAAAGCAGAGGTGATATCCTACTGGTTCGGACCGGACTGCCTGAAATGATAGTGGAAATTGTGGGTGGCTCCGCCCACCTGTGCCTGGCTCTATGGCATCCCATTTAGGCCCTTTTTCCACCAAAAGCGCATGTGTAGAACGATTTGCGCATGCGCAGAGGTGGGCATCACATTTGTGAGTGTGCTGATAGGGAAGGTAAGTGTATACCACCCCCGCAACAGATTATCAGTTTTTGATAGAAAAACTGAAATGCAAGCATAATATATAAACTGCAAAGACATATTTTAAAAAATGATAATCAATGATATCCAGTAAGATATTAAAAATATAATTTTGCATTGAACGATTCTTTAATGTTACAAAAACATAATCATATGTCCATTATGGTTCAACTCTTTTATTATAACATGCTAATGCCTAACAATAAATCTGTAAGATACTTACTGATATTCTGGGTGGGCGTAAATTCAAATTGTTGCTGAGTAGCTCTTAGTTGGCCGCCCAAATATCCTTCCTGTGTAACAGTACTTTGAGAAGTCTGAGTCTCCACAAACATCGGGGTAAGAATAGTGCTTCGATACCGCCAATTGGAATCAATTACAAAATCCTGGAGAACAAATATATGAAATACTTAAAGCCATCTTGATATCACCACTCTGATGTCAACACAAACATTATAATCCTATGCAAATATATTCTGCAGAATCCTATCAGAGGATAGTAATCAAAGAGATTACTAAATTTTCACATGCTTAAGCTGCGTTATTATTTTTAATTATTATATTGTATATTTGCTGTCTATTTTTAAATATATCAAAGATCAATATATGGGGGAAAAACCAATAACAAGTTTGCAGTTTTAATCAATGCATGCATCTATTAGCTTGAAAAAAAAACTACCGTATTTGACTTTTACTTAAAAGAGATTCATTCCTTGAGATAATTTTAAGATTTTCAGTTTTTAAAAATGATAGTGTCTTATCTATTTTTATTTATTTATTTCCCACCTTTATTATTTTGATAAGTAACTCAAGGCAACTTTCATGCCTAAGGTAGCACTAGAACTCACAGTCTTACAGTTTCTAGCCTGCCTGACTGTTGTTAGTTATAAATTAAAAGTATTTTATGAACATTGTAGTTAAAAAAACTATACAGTATAGTATGTAAAACTACATATACTGTATATAGTATATAAATCTATATTATAGTTAAATACTCAGAACAAAATTTTTTTTGCCCATTTAGTGTTCAAATCACTGGCTCACATATTTGTAAAAATAGGAAAACATTACCCGTTTTCCCCATTAAAAATAATCACAACAAATTGTAGGCAACACCATATTAATACATACAACCATTGTAAATATTTCATAAGAAAATTAAGGAAGGTTCATACCTTTTTTTAGAGATGAATAACATTTATATGGAATAATGAATAGCATAATTCACCATATTCCTCTCTTCCATTTTTATTTGTTATGAAATATATATACCAGTTTGATAATTTTAATATTAATAAAATATATCAAGGGTAAACCAGAAATGCAGTTCCATGTTTTTTAATGTAATCATCAAACAAAGATTAACATAAAAATTACAATATTATGACATTTTTTAAAAAAATGTTTTACTTCTGATCCACAACATTTTAGTTTTTAGAAAGTACTCCAACAATCTTTTATAACCTTGAAAAATAATATATATTCACCTGAAATTTACATTCTGAAAGCGGATATTCAAACATTTTCCTAGAATAATCTGGGCTTTTGCTTGTCATTTCAAGGAGAAAATTTGTAGCTAGACTCAAATACTGAGTTTCAATTTTGTCAGAGTACAAACTCCTTAGTAAGGACAACATGCGATCAAGAGTATTTGTTGGTAGTCTAGTTTCATCACTCCAAAAATTCCTAACAATTAATCTATAAAAGAAAATAAATATGCAAATGTCAGATAATCCATAGCTGTGTAAATATATGAACAAAGTGTATGACATATCCTTAGGTCCTTATGAATGGCAGGTGAGGATTACCTCTATATCACTCCCAAACTAAAGACATAAAGTTTTGCTTAACACTAATCTTTATAAAAAAAAGGTTCAGAATTTATTAAGATATTTAGATTGCAATTCTATATCATTTTAAATAAACAAGATATTTCAGTTCAATTTAAAAATTAAAGGTATTATACAGTGTTTATTCTGTAAATGTATGTGTATACAGGCAAAATTTTGCAATAGATACAATTCAATTTCAGAATAAAATTTATATTACTTACTGTAGTCCAGAATTTTCATCAATCAGTCCTTGAAGTAAACATTCTTTTGCCAGTTTCAGCACTTGTGAAGATTCCTCATCTGCTTGACTTTCTGAATCACTGATAAAAGAAAATGCATGCTCTACTGAACCTCAGTCACCCACACCAGAATATTGATGATGGTTTTCACTAGATAAAATATATTAGAATAGAATAACAGAGTTGGAAGGGACCTTGGAGGCCTTCTAGTCCAACCCCCTGCATAGGCAGGAAACCCTACACCACTTCAGACAAATGGTTATCCAACATCTTAAAAATTTCCAATATTAGAGCATTCACAACTTCTGGAGGCAAGTTGTTCCATTGATTAATTGTTCTAATTGTCAATTAAATGAAATAATTAAATTAAATTAAAATTACAGACCACAGAGAGAGGTCTAGAATCCTGGAAAACTTAAAATAGCTTCAGATTGTTTATTTATAATACTATCGATGCTTGAGTCTTTACCTGTAATTATCGTAGATCCACATGAGCACATCATACATTCGGCCCCGACATAATGGTGAAGGATGAGAAATGAATCCCATTACTGAAGGAAGTAGTTCTAATACTTCAGCTGGTTTCAGCTTAGGTAACATCTTGTACACAATATTTAAGCATATCGTTTGCCTTTCATCATCTCTAAGGGGAAAATGAATAAAACACCTTTATTAGTCATGGGGGATTGTATCAAATGGCCTATTGAAACTGACAAAGGACATAATTCCATCTTTTATCAGGCAAAATGGGAAAAAAAACCTTTGATCTACTCCCACTTTCTTAAGTGGAGTTTGTTCAAAGAAATTTTATTATGGACTATTCTACCAAAATATAATTACAAATCCCACCATCTCTCACCTGTGGCACATAACTTGAGTGAATTCCTTACTCTTCAACTCTAAGTACATATCAGCTGTTTCTTGAGCACGGCACATGACTACTTCCAAACAATGAGTTTTCATTACTCCATGAAGTTTTGGTAGCAGAAAGAACACAAAATTCATAAATCTTCCCATGACCAAAAATAAAAAGTACAGGAAGTTAGACCAAAGTATTAAGCTCATAATCTCAACAGTACAATACCACTCATAATTCTAATATACCTATCAGCAAGGGGAGGGAAGCTCTTTGTGATTTTATTCAGGCATACAATAAATTTGTCCTCTCTGGTATTCTGATGCAGCTTTAATTGTTTTATGACCATGTCATAAACTGGACCTTCAAATGTCTGAAAAAATGAAAGTATGTGAATGTTAAAAACTTAACGTATTGGCCAAATATTTTGGCAATAATTAAAACTATTGCTGCTAATTGAAATTGACCTTTTAGGAACATTTCATAAATGCTACCTTTCTTTTTCAGTGCCTATAAATATCCATTCAGAGACAAATGAATGATTCTTTTATCATAAACTATTTCTTACACAGCTTCTTAAGAGTTAAGTAGTTGGTTTGTACTGGAAAATGAATCCTGGACTAGAAGGACCTTTCAGGAGATCCAGCAAGGTAAATCTAAACTTTTGTAATATCACTGTTCTACGGGGCCTTTCAATGCTATTTAGTCCTTGACCTACAACAATTTGTTTAGTGATCATTCACAACAGCACTGAAAAAAATGACATGACCATTTTTCACACTTACAACTGTTGCAGCATCCGTATAGTCACATGATCAAAATTCAGGTGTTGGCAACTGACTCATATTTATGACGGGGTCATGTGACCACCTTTTGTGACCTTCTGACAAGCAAAGTCTATGGAGGCACCAGATTCACTTTACAACCATACTACTAACAATTTCAGTGTGCTCACAATGGCAGTGTACTAGCAATTGCAGTGATTCATCTAATAGCTGTGGCAAAAAAAAAAAAGATTGCAAAATTGGGCAAAACTCACTTGACAACTGTCTAACTTAGTAACAGAAACTTTGGGCTCAATTATGGTCATAAGTTGAGGACTACCTGTAGACTAGTCAAAGTATTTTACGTACCAGTATTAGAGTCAAGGTATTTTAGGTACTAGATTGAAAACTAAATTGATTTTAAAAGCTAACTCTTTAATAAAATAATAAAACATAAAAGCATTTTATCCTCACATTTTCTTTCTCAGCAATGTACTGAAGAACGAGTCCCAGTACTTCAGCGGCAGCAGCATATACTTCCTTGTATCTTATCAGAGCGATGTTGTTAGACAAAGCTTGGAAATAACTAACATAAATGAGAAATTTTATTTCACAATATCCCACAAATGCATATTTATTCCCCTGACATACATTAAAACACACAATTTTCTCACTCATTTTACATTTAATCGCAACAGAATGATTTACCAAATGTCTAGTGCACACATGTAATTTAAATGTAAACGACTTTCACTACATCTTGAAATGTTCAGGTAAAGTCTAAAGAGCTCCAGAGCAATAGATCATTTTACTTTTCCCAATTATGTTATAAATTATCTAAATTTAAGAGGGTTAATTTTCATTCACTGAAAATTATCCCAACACATCTACCTCTTTCCCATATTTGAAACATGTACAAGCATAGTATTTATGAAACATATTTATAAATATGAAATATAACAAAAAATCAAGTTCTTTAGGAAAATGACCATTGATAACTATACTGTATGTCAATTTCATTATTTGTTTTCCAATCTATGCACTTGGGAATCATCTCCTATTTTCATAACTTTCTTCTTGGCTAAAAGTTTAAATGCTCAATGTACCTAAACAGGAATATCAGAAAGTTGAAATTCTTACCTTATACTATCTATTTCACACTTTGGATCATATGGAGGTAAATTATTAGCAAGAACAATTCCTAGTAATTGAATTCCTACTGAATTGTCTTTTGTATTAGGATCTCCACCAGAAAATTGTTGAAATATTATCCTGCAGCAAGCAAAGACACAGATGAAGGTACTGAAAATAACAAGTAACTGTTGGTATCAATCAAAACTATCAGGTTAATGTTTTGTATTGAGAAAGAATAGACAGCAAAATGTTGCTCACTTAATAAGTGGAATCACTCATCACACTAAGTCAGAAAGTTTACCTAAATAGAGATTGTTAGCAAACTGGACAAATTACTATAACATACAGTAATAAACCATAAATCATGAACAATAGCTGGGATTACTTATCGAGGTTGGGCACCACAAAAAAATGATTTAGTGTGATGCAAAAACATAATTCTTATTAAAATACTTTCCGATTTAGTCTAATGGAGGCATCTAATAAAAGATATCCCATAGATGAAGTTGAAGCCTTGGTCTAGGCCAGTGATAGCAAAACTTTTTGTAAATGCGTGTCAAAACTGTGCGTGTGCATGCGATAACGCTGCCTGTGTGCCCCACACCCACAATGCAATGTGCCTCACCCACCTAAGCATGTGTATGAAGCTGAAGTTGAGACAAATTACAAAATAAAAGCTTTAGGAATAAAGTGGCTTGCCCTGGGAGAGGGGGGGGGGGGAAGACATAGGATGTAAAAAATTAACTGAATTTTGGAGAGGAAGAGCCAACGTCGCAACGTTACATTGTGCGGATTCGACTGTCTGAATCCGCCGATGACACTTTTGCCCCTGGATGGTCCGGCAGGACCTAAACTGTCCTGAAGAGACGGTGACTGGGAAGACAAGACCTTGCTGGTCGCAGGGACATCGTAAAGTCCCTGATCGACCCAAGGGAAGCGTTTCCAACCAGCGGCAACAGGCAGCCCCCCCCCCCGCTGACATGAGGTTTTTTTTTTCTTTCCTTTAAAAGATTGCCTTAAGAAATTCTTTTCTTAAGCTAAATTAGTCTCTTAAGCAAGAACAAAGCGGCGTATTTAATCCCTATTGGACTGTCTTAGAAAGTTTTTTGCTCTTGCCTGTAACGATCTTTTGTGGATTGAGTGATTGCAACGTTTCCATTTTTTCCGCTTGAGGTGAAGGGATCTTTTTTTTCTCTATTTCCCTTTACTACTTTGACTTTTTTGGCTTAAATTAAAACTCTTTTTACTTTAATAAATTTCTTCTTCTACTTGTTACAATATCATATTAAAGATACTTAAGGAAAAAGGTTTTAAAATAGTCGAATCTGCCACTTGGAAGCCCAAGTCTGAAGCTTTTTTTCCTTTGCTGTTGTAACAATGTATCCTTTGTTCACTCTTATCTGACTACACTGACTGTGCAACAGAAGGGTTTGGAATTTCTGTTTAAAACCTGATAAAGACGCAAGGTCACAAATAGTGGTGTGTGTGGAAAATATTTTGG